GCTGTATTCAGCTAAGCTTGTTTTTAAAATAATTTTAACTGCTCTGGTTGAGGGTGTAAATTACAAAATAAAGAACCGTGTAGAATGTAGACAAAATGACTTTCATCAGGTTCAGGTTGTGGGAAATAATACTTTTCCTCTAAGCTCATATTATAAAATGTTGTATTAGACTGTGATAAACTGACTTGAGAATAGTCTGAGCATGATCTCATCAGCTGGAATGGAGTATGAAATAAAACACGAAGCCTTCCCTCTTTTTGGAAGGCTCTGTTTTATACATTTTTAAATCACAGAGATTCCTTGAATTGGAGGATAACAGTGTAAGGCCCACAAAGGAAGTAAGAGAAAAGCAGCAAGAGTTTGAATAATTGAGTATGAGCAAAAGTAAAGGAGATGTTTGTCATGTGTGGCACACCCCGCCTCCCGCCCCTTCCCCACACCCAACTGTCTCGAGAGCCCTGGTGTGGACGGGGATGACTGCCCACTGCCGGCTGCTCCGAAGTCTGGAAGTCTAGAGGGAACCGTGACCTTGGGCGAGAGTGCCAGCAGGAAGGTGGGAAGCTTCCCAGGGATGTTTTTCCTGGAGGTGGAGTCTCCCCTCCCCCCTCCCCCCCCAACTGAAGTAGCCTTTTGCCTCTTCCGGTTTACTGGCAGCAGCTTCAGCAGCAGCGGCCCCTGGAAGTCGAGACCAGATATGCCGTGTCGGAGAATCTTCTGTCAGCATTTTTGATCAGCGACTCACAACTCTAAGAAAGGATGATTTTTGTATAAAACAATCTTTACGTTGTACTTTAAAGACCCAAGCTATTTTCTTAAAATACTGCCCGAATAAATTAACCATGCACAGATCCAGTGAATTTTGTGGCATTGTCCCTACAGAATTTTCAGTAGGTTATTCTCATAGTTGGAGCCATAGCTTTTTAGAGGTTTGGAGGCATTGTTTAGACATCGCCGTTCTTGGCACTCCACTGGCTAATTAATGGCTTTTCCTGAGTTTTGTTGGTGAGTGGAAACCTTTTCATTAACCGTATGGTGAAATAACAAAAGAGTTTTTGATGAGATGAGAGGTATTTCTGAAGATGTAAATCTTAAATATATTTAAAATGTAACTTAAGATGCTGTAGAAAATGTTAACTAAAACTTTTTAAGAACAGTAGATGCTGGAATTTCTTTATCCATTAGCAGAACGGAAGAGGGGAGCTATTTTGGTTATCATCTTTGAATGAAGCCTTTGGACTTCTTTAGGGGTCTAACATCCGGACAGTGGGACTGGCAGAAAGTTCATGCATTAAGCAAGGAAGATTTAAGTACATTCTGCAACTTTGGCCTTGTAAGCCGTGATCATTTTTAAGGTTGACGAGCATAGTTCACTATGAAATGAAGCAAAGAACTTGGCATTTATACATTGTGAGTCAGTTTTGACATCAGCCTGGATTGGGAATTGACTGGGAGGTTTTGGTGTTGAACTGTGTCTGCACTTCAGTGCCTCGATCCAGAGGCATGCATGAGCAATACTTCCCTTTGGGCTGTGGCCATTAATTTGTGGAATGGAGCAAGAGCTGGAGAGGAAAATTGAGAGACTGCCTTGGATTTCCTGACGTCCTGTTGAATCAAAAAGCAGTGGGAGGCCTTTTCCTTCCTGACAAAGGCCTCATCCCCTCACTTGAAATTCTCAGCATCTGCCTCTGGGCTAGGGACAGTCCTTTAACCCATGCTTTAAAATCTGTAGTACCCCCTGGCCAGTATCTGTGTTCTGCCTGTTCCAGGTGTTTTCCAGGCTTCTTCCCCTGATTATGTAACTTTGATCAAATCCAGATGCTTCAGAATGTTTGATAGAAGAGGTCAAATGGCATTCGAGAAGAAAAGCATTTCTGTATTCATGACTTTGGTTTAATTTCCTGTGTAGGCCTGATCTGCCAAAGTTGTATGCTCATGGCCGTGAGGTTGGGACCCCTGGAGGGAAAGGCACACGTACTTCTTCAGGACAGTTTGAGGAGAGTCCCTCCTCCCCCAGTGTGCTTTTCCGTGTTAGATTATCAATTATACAAGTGTCAGCTGGCTTCTATTTATGACAGCTTTTTTAATTTTTGTAATGGTTTTCTGATTATAAAAACCATATTCATTATGTGAAATATGCCAATATCTTGAAAAGAATAAAGAAAATTGTAGATGTTTGTAATCCCACCAAACTGAGTTAAACTACTTTCATTGTATAAGAATGCCCATTTCATTGACATCTTAATACTGTTAGCCTCCAGAAAACGTACCTGGAGAGTTTGTATTTCTTTGATTATTAGGAGGGTTAACATGCTTTCCTTGTTTGGTGATTTAAAGTTTCTATGCATTGCTTATTCATAGTTCATGTCCATTTTTCCTTAGCGGAAGGATTTCTCTTTTCCTTTTGATATGCAGGAGTTCTTGTATGTTAAGAATCCTCTGCCTATTAGTTTTTCTTAAAATAACGACAATAGAAGCTCTTTTGACTTGTTTTCACTTAACTGACTTGCTAAACATGCCTCTCCAGTGCCCACGGGACAGGGCAGCCCGTCCACGGGGCTCGCTGAACCTGCCACCTGAGTCCCACCACACCCAGTCAGTTGTGTTTCTTCCCATATCTCTCTATTTCAGATAGACGTGTCGTTTCAATCCCTTGGTTAATATGAAACGAGTGAAATCCAAATGTGAAAAGAGATTTGTTTCTATGAAAACTTAGATGACTGCATTAGATAGACTCAGCAAAGGCAGGTTACTTTTTAAAAATTGCCGCAGGACTGCGTGTGAGTGGCACAACGGTAAACAATTGGGAGGAGTTATGCTGGGATTCCACAGCACGTGGCTCTGACTCCTCCCTCCGCCTGCAGCAAGTTGAAGCTGGAAGTGAGATGGTGCTTGACAGGTAGGATGGTAAGACAACATCCAGTTCTGATCACATACCCACACTCAACAGAACAGTCCTTGGCCCTGTAGTCAAGACTGGCAAATCAATGTGCATTCAGGTGGGGGTAGGAGAGCACATACTTTATAATTTTTAAAAATCCTTGCTTTATCCAGCTTTTTTTTTTTTGGTTAATTGATCAATCTCTGATCACAGCGGCACTAGACATACTTTTAAAACCAATGTAAATACTCAGAGAACAGAGTCTAACACATCACTAAACCTTTTGCACCTTCTAGGAAATGGTAGTGTTTCGAGACCGTCTTCCTTGAAATTATATTTACCCTCATGATTCATAAAATGAAATTACCATTTCATAACTTGGAATTTACTATTTTAGAGAAACAATTCCTAAAGGTTTACTTTCATCAGTAGCACAAAAACTGGAATTGAAAGACTTTATTTATGTTCTATTGGTTTATTCCAAAGAGCTGCGTTAAAGAATGTTCATTCTGGAATTCTCCAGTCGTGTTTCTGGAAGTTTAGCCTAGTCCCTCAGATGTCTTAGGTGCCTCCAGTGTCTTTTTTGAAGTGAATACTGCGGAATCAGGCCCATCCTTGAGATGGGTGTTATTGCCCAAGAAAAGACATTTGGGGGTTCCCTCAATCTATGAAAAGGGAAAATTTAAACAATTTTGTTTTGTTGCCATTTGTGTTTGGCTTAAACATATGATAGATTCTTCCATTCTTTTCAAATTAGAATTTTCCTCTTTACTCCTTTTTAGAAGCATGACTTCTTATTGTAGTTTCCTTAAATGAGCATTTGGATTTCGCTCCGTAATATTCCACAACTGTTAAGGTCTACTTGGTTGCAGATACTAACTACTATATATAAAATAGATAAACAAAGGTTTCTACTGTATAACACAGGGGGCTATAGTCAGTATCTTACAGTAACCTATAATGAAAAAGCATATGGAAAGGAATATATGTATGTATATGTGTGGCTAAAACATGCTGTATAATAGAAACTGACACAGCATTGTCAACTGACTATATTTCAGTTAAACAATCTACGTGGAGTAGATTTGCTGGCTTGGAAAAACTCTTGTGCATATTGTCATTGTCGCAGAGAAATTGCGGAGAGTTTGAACATAGTCCAAGAGAAAAAAAGACAAGAAATTTCAGGAAGAAATAATGAACTGTATTTAACCCTGTAGTGAATAATAGTCACACATTCTTAATATAAAAGATGTTGACTGGTTTGCAACTTTTAGAACCTACCTATAGGCAAAAATTAAAGGCTTTATTATTACAGAAAAATAGAATTTCTTTTACACAAAGTAAAAGAAAATGTAAAGAAAGCCATACTTGAGCATAAGTATAGAAGCAGGAGGGCTGGAAGGAAGGGTCGGATGTAATAGCCTTATCTTGGGAGGTAAATAGCTGAGAGACACTGTCTCCAGCAGAGGGAACAAGAAATAAAGGTGTCAGTCTGTCGCTGCAGACGCAGAGGTGGCCAGGAGAGAATGGCACAGGGGAGACGGGGAGAGGGAGCAGCAGCCATTATGAAACCGCTTATACTTAGAGAGCGCGGGGGGGGTGGTCAGCACAGGTAGAGCTGTTGCCTCTGGGTGCGGGGAAGAGTGGGGTGGAAAATGTCCTTCATTGTAAGCCCTTCAGGACTATTTGATTTTTAAATTATGTGCATATATTAGCTTTCATATATTTTAAAATGTTTAAAAGCAAAAACTTTTGCTTCATATGATAGCGTAAACGGTGGCAAAGACACATGAAAATGGACTGTTTCTATTTCTAACTGAATTCATTTTGAGTTAATGAACTTAAAAAGTTTAAACTACTTGGGAACACTAGTTACCACCTTGGAACCAAAATACCTGGTGTTTTCCACAAGATTTGGGAAAGGAAGAGTCCATTTTTTTTTAAACCACCTAACTTGTTAATAGATAACGTGTACAAATGTTGGTGAAGAAATGAAATAAAGTTGGAATGTGTAATGTTGAAAACACAGATTTTTTTTTTGTTCCAATAAAGACAATAAACCTTTTTTCCCCCTGATTCTTCTTTCTCTTGTCTGTCTTCTATTTCCTTCTTTCTCTTCCAGAAGCCCTTCAGAGGCCAGTAGCATCTGACTTCGAACCCCAAGGTCTGAGTGAAGCAGCTCGTTGGAACTCTAAGGAAAATCTTCTCGCTGGTCCCAGTGAAAATGACCCCAACCTTTTCGTTGCACTGTATGATTTTGTGGCCAGTGGGGATAACACTTTAAGCATAACAAAAGGTAAAATAACTGTGGGCAGCTGGTGGTGGTTGCAAGAAACAGAAATCAGGGGAAGCTGTGGCTTGACTGGCCACCTTTGCTGACTGAAAGAACAACTTTAAAGTTGGGATACAGGACATCAAAAAAACTAACAGCATCTTTATAAGAGAATCACTTTTCCTTAAGGAGAAAATTTCCTGTACAGTTCTAGCAAATATTTTTTTATATTAAAAAAGATACCTGGACCAAACACTGAAAGCAGTTTTTTTTAATAAGAAAAAGTATTTCTCCCCTAAAAAGCTTCCTTATATTAGGAACAGAACACTTGAGTAAAAAATTTATAAAAACTGAGGCTATGTATTTATCCGTATATGCAATGTAAACAGGAAGCTTCATATATAAACATGTATTCTTAAACACTTATAAATGCATATATTTATGTGGACTTGTTAAAATGAGGTATTTAGGAATTTGGAGATTTTTAGTAGTCATGGGAGAATAAGTGAGAATGAACAAATTAGCCTTTAAAACTGCTGCGTCTGATTTGGTTCTTTTCTTCTAAGGTGAAAAGCTCCGAGTCTTAGGCTACAATCACAATGGGGAATGGTGTGAAGCCCAAACCAAAAATGGCCAAGGGTGGGTCCCGAGCAACTACATCACACCAGTCAACAGTCTGGAGAAACATTCCTGGTACCATGGGCCCGTGTCCCGCAACGCCGCTGAGTACCTGCTGAGCAGCGGGATCAACGGCAGCTTCTTGGTTCGGGAGAGCGAGAGCAGCCCTGGGCAGAGGTCCATCTCACTGAGATATGAGGGGAGGGTGTACCACTACAGGATCAACACTGCTTCTGATGGCAAGGTATGTGGCCCCAGGTGGGGAGCTGGGGGGCGCGGCTGGGGGTGGGGGTGTTAGTCTTTGGCCAGAGGAACCCAGAGGTCCTGCTGCTTGGTTGGTAAGTTATTGCAGCAAAGCTCAACCAAGAAGGTGTTTGAAGAAGTTTTCGAGTATACAGCAGGCATCATCCCATTAGCCTTAATAAAGACACACTGTTGAGGACCCGTCACGTGATACTGAAGGTCCACAGGCTGATGGGGTTTTCTCATTGTCCTGCTGGAGTTTTGTTGTTAGCAGTTTCATAAGATAAGTGGGTTTTGGACATATTTCTTACATTGAAACTCTTCCTTTTTAAAAATTCTCTTACTATGATATTAATTTACCCTCAAATGAGAAAAATTCACGCAATAGATGGTTATTTTTAAAGTGAAAGATGAGCTTAATAGCACCTCCTCAAAATAAATCTGATATATGGCCTTCTTCCTATGGATGAAATCACATTTGTGTGTGTGTACAATCTAAATGCACAGGTGTATTTTTTGCATTCTTTTTTTGTTGACGTATAGTCAGTTTACATTGTATATATACACAGTTTTTAAACAAAAATGGGATCACATTATGCCCATGTATTTTCAAACCCAAACTGTAGTTTTGTAAAGGAGTTTATATATATGGTTTTGTGATCTTCACATAAACAGTCCTTAAGAGTCCCATGAAAGGAAGGGAGAAATTAACGTTTACTAAGTCCCTACTGTTTACTGGGACATTATTCAATCTTCATCTTAGTTAAAACTCACATTAGATACTGCTTTTACCTGCATTTTTGCATTAAGGAAATGGAGGCTTAGAGGGACAGAATTTCTTGCTGAAGATCACATTGTGAGTAACTGCTGGAACTAGGCTCAGATTTCACTGTCCACTCTGCTGCACCATGCTGTCGTTGAGGGTGTAGACAGGTGGACTGTCAGGCTGGGTCCAGATGGTATATGTATTTTTTAATAATATGTAATGCATGCACATGGTTTAAAAAAAAAGAACAAAATGAATTGCAGTGAAACATAATTCTGTTTTCTAATTCAGTTCCCCTACCCAGAGGCGACCACTGTAACTAGTTTCTTCCAGCGTTCTCCCGTGTATGTGTGTTTATATTTTTAAAAAACATGAGTGATGCATAATCTCCACTGTTCTGCATCTTGCTTTTCCCACCTAATAGCATATTTTGGAGATTGTTTCATGGCAGCACATTTAGAGCTGCCTCATTCTTATTAATGACTGCATAACATGAATGGACCACCATTTGTTTAGGCATTCCCCTGCTGGCCGACTTTCAGGTTGTTTCCAATCTTTTGCTGTTATAAATAATGCTGTTATGAGGTTGATTTCAAACCTTTAAAAAAAAAATCTCAGCCCACCATAAAAAAAGCTTTACTAGTATCAGAAAGTTCATGAAATCCCGCTTACTCTTACTGTATGTAATGCATGCTGATAGTTTTTTGCTTCATTCTGTTGTTTCATTTTTTTTAATTCTCATCATAATCCACTAAACTTATTTCCTAGACCCACTAGTGAGTCATGACCTGCATTTTGAAAGTACACTGCACATTCTTTGTGTACAGTCTAAGCGTATGCGAGATAAGTTGCTAGAACTGATTGAAGATTATGTGCCTTAAAAGCTTGTATAGATACCACTTTCTTTAGAAACTGTACAAATGGTTTGCTTACCAGCAGTGCTGTGAGGGTGTGTTTCCCTTACCCTCGTCAGCAGTGTACCATCAGACTTGTGATAACATCTCTGTCACTGATGGGTAAAGATGCCATCACGTTTTGTTTAATATGCGTGTGTCGAATTTTGAGTGCTTCCTATGCCATTTACTAAACTCATCTTTTCCTGTAATTTGAAATATACCAAATGTACATGTGTGTTTAGGTCTGTTGATCTACCCTCTGTTCTCTTCCATTGGTCTGTCTATTCATACGCCAGTTCTCGACTTTTCATTGTTATGGCCTCATGTCTTAGTATCTGGTAGGGCTCGTCCCCTAGTCTTAATCTTGCTGGCCTTTTGTGGCTGTCTTCACACATTCATTTATCCCACACAGATGCACAACACGTTTCTTTTTTCAATGTTCTTATCTGTTGCTTTTTCCACACGTCTCAAAGTCTTCAGGCTGAAGTCCTTTTTGCCAGTGTCTGATGCTTTTATACCAGCACTGTAGTCTGCACGACAGACGGCACAGTCTACTGTTGATACGAGGCCAGAGATCGGCCTCATCAGCTTGCTTTTCAGGTCATGTTCACATCCCAGATTGGAGCTGGGTCCTTCCATTCTACAAGATGAATTCCAGGGTGCTAGGCTGTTTGAAACCTAGCCTTCAGACCACAAGGGTGCCTTTTTAGTGAATTAGAACTCCAGAGTGCACTGCCCATGAGGGAGGTGATTTCCTGGAGCTGACAGCTTGCTTCCCATCTGTGCTGTTTATCCAAGGCAAGTCATGCTGCACCACGGGAATCGGTTGAGGTTTGTGCTGAACGGGATAATGGTTTCTTTTCCCTAGAGTTGTTTAATCAGCATCCTTGGAGCAGATGCAGGCAGGCATGATCTAGTTTGACAATTTATTAGCTGGGGGCTGGTCTAAAATGTTAAAAGGAGGAGGAGAGCAAGGCCTGCGTGGTTACACGATCTGTAGAATTTGAGAGTCATCCGACGAGGAAGCCAAGCGCTCTGTCTAAAAGTTGGTATGTGCCAGGTGGGTTCCTTTCATTCCAGGTAGAATAGAGGGAGTATCACTTGATCAGGCAGTATCCACTGCTGGGCAGCTCGTCAGAGTGCCCTAGGCATCTCGCCTCCCTCCTCCCTCCCTGGCGGAGACTCTCCCTTCAGCTGTCTGAGCACCTGGAGACTTCTCGGCCCACGGAGTCGTCAGGCCAGCCATCTGCGGAGGCTTCTCTCTGAGGGCCACACTTGTGGGGGCTGTGTTGGGTGGGATCATGTGCCTGGAATGAGTGCAACAGCATCAGGATTGGGGGCGGTATTAGAGCGAGGCATGAGGCAGTGTGGCTTGGCTTTGAAAAAAGCTGCTCACATAGCAGAGCTTTGATGCAATCTTTTTTGGATTTCTAAGGGGGAAAATTTAAAGTTTGGTGAAAGGAAGAGCCTAGGGTTGAAAAAGTTTAATTCTTATTTTCAAATCAGCTAATCTTTAGAAAACAACTGAATTTAGAAGATTCTTCTCTGAGGCCCCAAGGGATTTCTTTCTGCCTCCACCCTCTTGGCTCTGGTTTACTTCCCTCCCCGTGTTCCTAAGCTTTCAGCAGCCGTTGTGGCTGGTCAGTCAGCTCAGGGCCACCGGCTCAGGGCTCAGGGCCCAGAGCCCAGGACTCTGGGAGTTCCAAGCTAGACTCTTGAAAGGGCCATTCCAGACTGAGCCACTGCTGTTTCCTAGGAGTCTTCATAGTCTTAATCTTCAGGTATGCTGGGGTTTGCTTCTCCTCGGTGCTTTCTTAGAGTTTGGAATCCTCTGCCACTGTCCGGAATTAAAGACTGGGTTTCCTCCTCCACCCCCACCCCCAGTCATTCTTGGTTTATTATACCTTACTTACTTCGGTGAGATGCCCCTGCCAAGCCCCACAATTCCGTATGGACCTTGATAGAATCTTTCCTTTCCTTCCTTCCTTCAAGAGGTGCCCAGTTGACATTTATTTTTATGGTCTGCTGAAGTGACAGGTTTAGATTGACATGAGTGAAATTTGGGCTTAAGCTTTAGCAGAGGTGGCAGGACAGGCACCAGCTGTGTAACCTCTTGATGACACAAGATTTACCTGCCCTGACAGTGGCTCAGCAGGTGTAGGCATCCCAGTGGAAAACCCGCTCGCTAAACCATGGCTGACTCTCCCTTGTCAAGGAGACTGGGAGCGTTACCGCTAAGTACTGTGTAGTTATCAAGTTACTGCCTTCCTGCTGGTGTGTGAGTGGCTCCGGGGGTGGGGTGGGAGGACGTGGCTTCCGGGCCTTGCAGCCTGTAGGGAATGTCCGAGATGGGACTCCGGGGTCTGAGGCAGCTGAAGGTGCCCAAGCCTAGGCTCCACTGAGCCTGTGAGTCTGGCTGTCATTCCTGGTGAATTTCTTCGACAAGTCCTCTCTCTCAGGTCCCTGCATGATTAGGAAGAGGCACAGCCCTGGCTGAGCACCCAGAGTGTTTGTGTAACTGGGTGCATAGCATAATGACATGCCATTCGTAACACTAATTTCACTTTCTTCTGTGAACATGCCATGAATTCCTGATGAAGATTACCCAGTTCGCCAGCAAAATGCTGCTCAAAAACTAGCCCTACTCAGAAGGAAGCCACCAGACGTGACTGTTAGAAGCTGGCTGCACAGTACATTTAAGGGAGAGTAGTTTCAATATTTTAATAAGTGTCGGTATGTAAATTTTATGTGGAAAGATGAACTAAGTCTCAGGGTCTGTAAATTTAATTATTAAAAAGGATAAAGTTTGCCCATTCACAGAAACCTCCCATAACTCTGAAATCTCTAACAAAGGAGCCTGCAAGGGAATCAGCTGAGACCAAGAGCAAATTCTGCATAAAGTAGGGCTTAGGGGAGCCATTAGCATTCTGTGCAGTAGGGTGAACTTGAACTTGATCTTTAGGTTGAGGAGTGCGCCTTTCAAGCTGACAGGGAGAAATAGGTAATGAGCCTTGCTCCCAGGTGACCTGCCCCAGGAGCCCAGCAAGTGAAATGGGCTCTTTTGCCTGTGCCATGCTAGTGATTTCCTAGGTGGGAGGGGAGCTCTGGTTCCAGGGGGTGCCTTCTTGGAATGGCTTTTCTCTCCTCTTTTCACTCCTCGACAGGGAAGATGCCCATCACCTAACTGGCCAGAGAGAAGAGGGCTTGGGGCACGTGCAGCCTGCAGTGAAGCAGTCGGACAACTGAGGGCCTTTCCAGAGAGGGCTGGGGACTAGGAGCTCTCCCTCTGCCCCCGCTCGGTCCTTCTGAACGGCACTTGCATTGGTGACTAGAGTCACCTGATGAGAGTGCCGGGTCGTCAGTGTGTGGGCATTAAGCTGAGGGCAGGCTCAGCGGACTTCTGACTTCTGCCCCCCTACCCCCCAGCGCCCAGCACTCTGGTATGCAGTTCAGAGACCTGAGCACGACCCCTGGTGTCTCCCTAGGGCGGTTCACTTAGCTGTTTCTCCTCGTGGCTCTGAGGTACAAAAGTGGGGCCTCCTGGTGGGCCACCTCCTCACCCTGAAAGGTCCTGCTGTTCAAAGGCACCGTCTTCTAGAGGGACAAGTTCCCCAGAGCTGCGAAATCCTTCTGGACTGTTCCTAGGTCGCTCAGAATTTTATTTTAGTAGGATTGCTACATAAAAATTGTAAATTATAAACCTCTAAGCCCAAAGTTTGATTTAAAGGAATTGTTTATAGTCATTTCCCCAAGTGAAAGAGAGAGAGAGAGAAAGAAAGGAAAGCAGGGAAGGAAGGAAAGGAACAAAGAGAAAGAAAAGAAAGAATCTCTTTGTTAAGGAATCCTACCCTCTTGAGGTTTATAGATGGAATCCACTTGTATATCTGCTGTTATTTCCTTTTAAATATTTTTATTATCTAATATTACAAACAGAAAGTAATGGAACCTACCATAACCAACAGCCAAGGCCTTGTGCCTGACATGTGTTTCGGCCTTTTTCTTCCCTTTTCATTTTTGAGTAACAATCAGCTACCTGATCCTGCTCCTCTTCGTCCTTCTGGCCTCGGGCATCACTGCTGTCCCAAATCTGTATACCTCCTTCCGACATCTTTGCAGTTTGGGCAAGTCTTACGAATACCTAGCTCTGATTTTAAGTGTGCTTTCCACCTTCAGCAGTTGTTGGCTGCCCTTAGTGAGCCAGTAGATTCAGTTATGTGCCTGGAGCCCAGATGTTGTATGTGAATTTTAATGTGAGTTGTTTTGGGTAAGGAAATATTCCCTCACTACATCACTGAGTCAAATTAAAGAAGAGACAGGAGAAGAAAGATAGCTGTCACCATCCCCATTGTTGCTTTCCGCCAGCCTGCGCCTTTGCCTTCATCCCCTTTGCAGCGTCCAGATGAGAACTCCATGCGGAGGGGGTTCCCTGTGCAGGCTCGCACCCGCCGTAGGCCTCAGTTAGGACTCACGTGCATGTGTGTCTCCTGTCCCTCCTCCTTGCTTCCCTGAGCTGGGGAAGGCGTATGACCCTGTGCAGCCCTCCAGGCCCCACTCAGTTCCAGGAGAGCACTGACGGACTTCCCGCCAGGGCATGCTGCTGGGCTTTGCAGATCTGGCCTCTGATGCTTCTTATTCAGCCCAAGTCAAAGAGGTAGGAATGAGAAGGAGGTTTATGTTTTGTTTAGTGATTTTCATCTCTGATCACTATTTATTCCTAGGTAACTATGTAATTATAGGTTTTAGATAATAAACATAATTATTTAAAAATTATTTTCATCAGATATAAACTATTATAAATAAATTAGATAAACAACAAAGTGCTAATGTATAGCACAGGGAACTACTTCAGTATCTCGTAATAACCTATAATGAAAAAGAGTACGTGTGTGTACGTGTGTGTGTGTGTATGTAAAATATACATATATAACTGAATCACTATGCTGTTCACCAGAAACCACCACAACAATGTAAATCAACTATACTTCAATTGTAAAAATTATTTTATTTTCCAATCAGCAAATACTGAGTTCTACTCTTTAATTTAATCAACATTTATTCAGTACCTCTTACATGCTCATCCCTTGTTCTTGACACTGGGGATACAGAATTAAAACAGACAGCTTTGGGCCCAGTTCTCAGGAGGCTGACATTCTGGTAGGTGGAGGCAGATAATCGTCAAGCAGGTAAACAGAATGATCAGCTAGTGGTGAGTACGGTGCAGAGAAGTAAGACGAGTGTGATGACTGGTGCCAGATGGTCAGGGATACTTCATGGACATTCACATTGGGCTCAGAATGGTCACAGAGAACCAGGCATGTGAAAATTAAGCAGGTGGAGGATTTCGCGGAGAAACAGTGTGAGTGATTTTCTAAACACTTGGTCCTGTGTAGAGAGCGAGTCGTTTATCTGAGATTTTGCTGTGCATTAAATGAAGGCTCAGTAAAGCTGGCCTGTCGAGTTGTTTGAGTTGCATCTGCCCCACGGGCTGAAGGCTGCCCTGATTTCCTCAGCTCTACGTGTCCTCAGAGAGCCGCTTCAACACCTTGGCCGAGCTGGTTCATCATCACTCAACTGTGGCAGACGGGCTCATCACCACCCTCCACTACCCGGCCCCCAAGCGCAACAAACCCACCGTCTACGGCGTGTCCCCCAACTACGACAAGTGGGAGATGGAGCGCACGGACATCACGATGAAGCACAAGCTGGGGGGAGGCCAGTACGGGGAGGTGTATGAAGGCGTGTGGAAGAAGTACAGCCTGACGGTGGCCGTGAAGACCCTGAAGGTAAGCCTGGGACCACCCGGTCAGATGTCTGTGAGCGCCACCACTGCTCCGGGTACCTCCGTTAGCCATGCCCGTCATCTGCTGGTGCGCGGTGATGCTCCTTCAGGTCCCTGCCTGTGTGCACAGGTCCCAGGGCGACTCTCAGCTCCTGCCGTCTGTGTTTCCACACATGCTGAGAGCTGAGAAGTGCTGTGGTTTTTGGTGTAAAAAGATTAGTCATTTCGAGGGAGTTTTTTTCATTCTGTGGCAAGGTTGTTTTAAAGCTGTGGGTTTCCGTTCTGTTTGTGTGGCATTTGGATCACTTCCTATTGCGTTAAGAGAGTGGGGGTAGAAAATCTGAGTTTTGAAAGAAGGAGATTTAACCAAAATGTGTTTGGCTCTCATCTGGATTTTTGTTGGTAGATTTGAAAGTCAAGTGCGCTGAGTGTTCTAGCAGGTTCTAGTCTCTCTATCATGTGTCCGGACTTGTGGAAACTCAAGCATGGGGCCGCCTCCACTAGGAGGGCGTTAAGGAAGCAGGGAGGCTTCTAACGCAGATACTGTCTGTTCTTTGTCGCTGTGACTTGCACTCTCAGCGAATGCCTGGTGTTTGTAGTTTCCGGGCGGTTGTTAGGATGCCAAGGGAAAGAGGTTTTCATGTGTCGTCCTCCACCTCCTTCAAGATGTGATCCCCGTTTTTACCTATGGCAAGAGTGTCCCCTAGTGTTGACCTGTGTGATTTTCACTTGTTTTAAATGAACTCCAATTACATTGACCTGTGCACAGAAACTGAGAGAGGGAGCCCCTTTTGTAGCTACTAGAGAAGAAGAAGTGAAACAGCCCCACTGGGAAAGGTGCACCCAAGTGTGTGCGCACTTCCTAGAGGTCGGTTAGGTGCACGCAGCCAGAATCTCTGCCTTCTGGGGACTCGGTCACTCCCCTGATGCCCTCAGAGGCACAGTAAAATGGAAATTATGATTTCTGGTTGATATGAAGTGACACTTTAGAGAAAAGATTGCATTCTTTAGTCCTAGAAACCGCAGGTGGCTTCTTGGCATTCATATTGACTGTGTCCCCTTAGCTTGGTCCTTGGGGCAGGATTTGTGTGTGTGGTGGGAGGAGTGGTGGTGGCATGATGTGGTGTCACCTTAAGGACTCCTGGATATTTTCTAGATAGAATTCTTTTTTAACTTAATAAGCAGCTATCAAATTCCTTAACACTGGAATTGTGAAAATGCACTGGACAGAGCTCTTCCCATCAGGCTGGTCGAGGTGGTTAGAATCGTCTGGTTGGTCAGTAGGAGACGTGGGCACGTCTGACAGCAACTGCAGTGCAGTGCGAGGAGGGCTGAGCTAGAGGCCCAGGCTCAGGGCTGTGGCTCCACGTGGGGAGGAGAGTGGAGCCTGTGAACTCTGTTGGTGGGGCCAAAGCACGAAGGGCATCGTGAGCGGGCCCGTGGTGGAAGAGCAGGGCCTGGCCCGAGGAACAGGGCCAGGAGGGTGAGGGAGAGGGCAGAGAGGGCACAGCAGCTCACAGAGGGCTTGAACCCGGCTGTGGAGCTGGGGGAACATCCTGGAGGCAGTGGGGTGCATTGAAAGGTTTAATGCACAGGAGTAAGATGATTGGGTTTTCTTTGCACAAGGATGGCTGTGTTGGCGAGCCCTAGAATGAGCTAAGCAGCCGTTGCCCTGCCTCCCACAGCCCGGGCGGGAGCAGGGAGAGGCGTGTGCCTGTGCTCCGGTGTCTCAGTTTGGCCCACGACTGAGGACCAGACCCAGGGAAACTGCGCTTGCCCAGCTTGCCAGGCTGTTGGAAGCCCAGCATTACCCGCACGTTGGCCAGGATTTGCCAAAACAAACCAAGAGTGAAAGCACAGAACACCCCCGATTTTAGTCCAGAAAAGACTTGTTTAAAAACTTCAAAAAGAGATGGAGTTTGCACTTGGGGAAACCGTAGCCCAGTAGTGGTGCTGTGGCATTATTTTCTGAACAGCTGAGGAGGGGGATTCTAGAGGAGGGACCCCCTGGAGCTCAGTGGTGGTTTTTTTATACCAATACATCAGAATTAATCTCAAAATGGGTGCCTTCTAGAGTATACTCCTCTAGTGACATGTTATTAGCTTATTATACTTTTAGTGATTTCCCCTAAGAGCCTTATTAACTTATGATCCCACAGTTCATAAAAAATCACAGAATGTAGTTGCATAAATTTCTGTGACTACTCATTCCAAGCAGTAGCTAATTAGGGGGAAGGGAATGTGTCATTTTCTAGGATATATTAACCCAAAACATGGTACTAAGCAGCTCCTAAATAAATGATCCCTCCTTCCACCTCACCCTGCACAGAAAACGTCTGTACAGTATGTTTCCCACTTACCAAATAGCTCCGTATCAGCATTTGGTGCATTCATCTCCATTGTAGAAGCTGAGAATTTGAGTGGTTCTAAATGGGGGATGATGGTTAACATAATATTGAGTTCTTACTCCCTGCCTGCCAGAGTCTGAGTGCTTTATGCTTCACATAGAGCATCGCATTTAATCCTTAACAGCCACCCTAAGAGAAGGCTGCTGACGTTGCTGCCATCTCAAGGTTGAGAAAACTGAAGCAGAGGGAGGGTAAGTGACTGGCCTGGCATTAGTTACGTGGGCAACAACGACAGAGCCAGGACTTGAACCCAGGCATCCTGCTCCAAAAGCCCAGTTCTTCTTTTATTAAATTGTTACTCAGGTTCTGATTCCTCCTCATACACCATGAAAAATACACATGAACCACAGTTACGCATCCTAAAAATCACACACACACACCCCCATCCAGTTCACTTCCCTCAGAGGCTGTAGCTGTGATCTGCTTTTCTCCTGAAAACTCCTTGGGAATTCTGTGCAGTTCTAGCTCAAGCTTCTATTTGCTCAGCCAGTTCTCACCAAGCCCCTCTTTGTGCCGGACCCCAGCTAGGCACTGGAGCCTCAGTCTCCTCCTGCCTCCCTGTCCTGCCTTTTTGATATTGCTGGCACCTCAGCGGACAGAACCAGATCCTCCTTAACAAGCGGGGGAGCAAGGCCCTACTTTTAACCACCACTCCTTATTGATCTGCTAGGCGGCACTGGGTCTGGCACTGGGTCCGGCACCTTCAGGGCAGAGAGAGACCTGAAGGGAAAAGAGAGGGCACTAGGTTGACCCCTGTGGATGAGAAATGGGAATTACAGCAAAGGCCCCCCGATGGGAAACTGCTAGTTTGAATTTTGACCCATACACTTATGTTAGGTTATATGTTACAGGCAGGATGTGTCTCAGAGAACCAACTGTCAGGTATAAATAACCCCAAGTTTCAGGTGACCTGTGTAGTAGAAGTTTTGTAAGTCACTTTTCTTTCTATAAAACAGTTGTGTAAGTAATAGAATTTGGAAAAGACTACTGTTGATCTAATTATGTTATTAAGGTTGACTCATAAGCTAGCTGACAAATTTACTATTAAAATAGCAAAAAATAACATTGTTTTAAAAAGTTGAGACTTAAAATTGTACTCAAAAAATGACTGGAGACTAAACAACATGATACTAAAAATTATACTTAATTCTTTACCTATTTTTCAAATAGGTAATATATACACACAGTATCCTCCACCCTTGATTTTTGTGTCTTTCCAGTAATAGTCCACGTGCATGTATCTTTTAACCATACGGCAGCATGCTGCAGACGCTGCCCCATGATGTATCTTACAGTTGTTCCTTAACAGTGCGCATATGAATGTATTTTACTAGGTACCAGCCTTCAGTAGACACTTGTGTTCCTTCCAGTACGGTTCACAGGGAGTCTCCTTGTTTGCACACATGGAAGAGGATCCTGGTAGGTCAGCGTCTCCAAGTAGTGCTGGATCAAAGAACTCATACGAATTTGCACTCCTGTTTTCCCTACCCTCACCAGCGCAGTGTGTTTTGGTTTGGGTTGTATTTTTGTTATCCCCCCCGGAAATTGGTTTTATTGGAGAGCTCCAGGAATGGCAGAGAAGGAAGGGCTCCATGCAGCACTGACACCGGACAGTCACACGCAGTGGCTCTCTGACTTCGTGAGGGGGCTGTGCACTGGGGAGAGAGTCCGCGCGACTCAGAGCCCACGGCTGCCACATCACACTTGGCTCCTGCAGTGGGTTCCCTTTTGGCTGTGGGGCTAGATACAGTGTAGTACTTGAGGACCAGAGTTGTGGGGTTCCTCTGTAAGATATTTCTCATGGACTTTTCGCTCAAGCTTCAGGTCCCTACTCTGGTTAGTGAACCAACCACCTTCCTCAGTCTAGCTCAGAAACCGCTGCATCTCTCCGTGTGTCGATCCAGCCCATCCGATAGGTGCAGGGCGGGCTTCACCGTGCTTGTAACCTTGCTCCCCTGACAGCGGGTAGGAACCGGAAACAGATGTGGAAACTGATCCATCTTAGGCACAAGGCCTGCTCTGCAGCCAGGAGTCCCCCCCCCCCACCAAGAGGGAGGAGTGGCGAGCGCTAAAACCTGTGCCGCACAGTGGGGTGCTGGGCCGTTTTAAAAATAGTGTTTTCTTTTATGCTGTAGAATTCCTCCTCTTTGGGATGAGACCATTGAGCAAAGAGGATGAAGCTGGTTAGAAAATACCTGTGAGATGTTGAGTCTGGAGGAACGTATCTGTCAGAAAAACAGGGGAAAAAACCCCCATGTTAATTACAGAACCAGCCCACCTTCTGTACAAGCAGTACGTTTAGTCTGCTTCTCAGAAACAGAGAGCAGCTGTCCTAATACAAGCGAGTACCACCGAGTGAGTGCTGGCCGTGTCCTTGGCCCCACACTCGGCGCCCTGTGCGAGAGGTGGGTACTGCTGTGGTCTGCGTTTTGTAGATGAGAAGACAAGTGCAGAGCTCACCTGTTATCTGTTACGTAGGTAACTTACTGCGGTTACCCCGCAGAGCTTGGTCGGTGTTTCCCACAGGCGTCCTCCTGACCAGTCTGCTGTGCCAGCCGAAGCGTCCACCCACCTCCGGTCAGCCAGCCCGCCCTCGTCAAGAAAGGCCAGTTGGCCATCTCCCTCCTTGACAGACAAGGCTGAAATTCACAGCTTTTCCTCAAAGTGTGGCCTTCGCCCTAGTTATTCAGAGTTAGTTTTATTTTACTGTATAAATGGAAGGATTCTCTTCAAAAAGATGATGGAAAAATTTTAAATAAAATTAAAGGAATATAATAGGATAGCATCAGGGGTATTTCCAGTCTAACACAGCTGCAGGATGCTGTTAGTTTAAATTATACATTGAACCGGGTCTGATTCCAGCAGGGGGAGACAAGTTCACACCGATTGTCCTGAAAGAAAAAAAGCCAAGGAATTATTTGTACTGTCCACAGTGTGTGTTTGTGTGTGTGTGTGTGTGTGCACGCGCGCGCACATGCACATGTGTGTGAGGAAGAGAGGAAGAGAGGAGGGATACCTCTGAAAGCTGTAGTGTTGCTTTCGCATGTCCATGCTTCTCAAGACCTAGAACACGCTTGCAGAAAAGAGTCAGTACCTCCAAGCGCAGTCTTATTTCTGAGTGGATTTCACTGTGCATGGTTCATTATGCAGCACTCTAAGTCTGGAAAGCTTCCTTTGAGAGCTACTATTTGAACATATTGTTGGCTGAGCAAGATTCTTAAAGGCCCTGGTCCTTACGTGAGTGGCACTGACTCGCCTGGTTCTGACAGGCATTTGCTGTCCAGCCTTTGACAGTAGCGTGTCACCCTGGTAAATCAGAGCACTCTGCACCGAAAACCGCATGGTCTGCTGAGCATATTAAGGAGCAGAGAGGACTCAGAAGAATTAAACAGCCAATGAGGTGGTGGCAGGGATGTGTTCTTTTCCTACCCATGCAGCTCGACACCAAGACTACAGAAGATGTTTAATTGACATTAAGAGCAGCTCACCATTTTTAAAGAGCAATAAATTGTTTCTGAGTCTCAGTCTCAGCAGACCCTAAGTGAAGTGATGTTGGGCTGGCGCACGTCCTCACTGGTCATGCTTTGCTTGTGTGCGTGATTGACCCAGGCAAGAAAGCGCCACGTCGAGGTTGGCCGGTCCTCGAAGTCTTTCCCACGCGCGGGGCGGGGACTGGGCAGCCACGGTGGGTGAGTGCTGCAGTACGGCGCTTTAGCTCTTGGTTTCCCGAAGGGGCGGGTACAGTGTACGTGAGCTTCCACATTTAAAAGCAGGTCAATACCGCTTTCCTCTTGGGGTAGTCTAGTTTCATGACGTTCACTCCCCGTCTCCCATGCAGTCTTGCTCGTCAAACAGAATCAGACTTGATGTTGAAACTTGGAGGGTGGTTTCTTGTTTTCCTCCTCGGCCTTTTTAGCTGGGTTCTCACAGTGAGACTGTGTCATATCCCACCTGCCTGCTCCTTGTTTTGATGGTCAGTTCAGAGGATGGTAGGTTCTGTAAGTCAAAAAGACGTTTACCCCGTGTAAGCCTACAGCCAGGCTCTAACCTGATGTTAAGCCCACGGGGCCAGGCCCCATCGCGCTCCAGACTGATATGTGAGGAAGTGGAGAAATATTATCACATTTGTCTGGGCATTTGCTAATATCTTTGTCTCCCCTTGGCGCTTAAGTACTGTGAACTTGCTAAAACGTGATGTGTACGGATGGTACTTGCGAACCCGTTGTTAGGGAGCAGCTAGTGAGGACTGTCTTACAGTCTGAGTAATTGGCCTGACAGGTGGCAGTGATCACTTCATTTAGAGCCCCATGACACCGCATTCTTAAGAGGTTCAGCACCCTCTGTTTCTGCCGCATTTTGAGGCGCTGTTCTTTGGTAGTGCTATAGATCTTTTTGTGTCAGCAAGGTCTCTTCTCTTTAATCAGGTGCATTTCAGATGGTGAAGCATTTTAAGAGCCCTTGGAAACCATCTGTTCCTTAGAGAAGTAGTATTGTGTTTGCGATATTTACCTGTGCACATCTCCCTTACTTCCCGTAAACTCTACAAGGTGATGGAAACAAATAGTCTGCACAGGGTCACCAGAGCAAGTCACCAGCATATACAAGCCAACCTTGGTGTATTGCTCCGGATGAGAATTCAGAAGTTCAGCCCCAAAGGGGAAAATTCTTTGTGCCATTGGGGTGATGACCGGCCACCTTGGAACCTGTCCAGAGCAATGTCGTGGTTGAAACTAATAGACCAGGATGGTTGTTTGTTGGAGCTCCAGTTTGTATTAACCATTCCAGTTGTACTTTCCCACATAAACACTTTCCTGGCTCAAATAATTTCATCACTTTTTTTTTCTGCAGGAGGATACCATGGAGGTGGAAGAGTTCTTGAAAGAAGCTGCAGTAATGAAAGAGATCAAGCACCCTAATCTAGTGCAGTTACTCGGTGAGTGTGTGGAGCTCTGAAGAGAAGACCGTTTAATTAAACCCTCTGGGGTGATACAGGTGCCATTAGAGAAGAGATGAATGGCTCACTGCATTAAGGTTTCTGATTTGGGCATCTGTTCTCTACCAGCATTCAGCCCTTGGTGAAAGGAGGTCTGTGTGGGATGGTGTTTGTGTGTGTGTGTGTGCGCGCGCGCGCACGTGAACGCATGAGAGAGAGAGAATGTCACTGCTTTAAATTAATACCCAGAAGCAGTAAATTGCAAATTTCAAATTGGCTTCTGAAACAAGAATTTCAAGAGTTCCTTCACAGACATGATTCTGTAAGTAGATGTAACCATTAGAGGGAAAACTCACTGTGATTTAGTTTGATGTGGCCCGGACTTTGCTTATGAACTCAGTGGCAGCCTCTTCCTGTTGAAGTTCATTGGCTGGAGAGGAAGAAAGGGGCGTGGCCACGTCCTGCCCGCAGGAACATAATCTCAGTCCACAAGTGCGTGGGACCGTGTTACAACTTGGGCCCAGGACACAGGGCGGAGTCCAAGTCCGTTTCCAAAGCCTTGTTCTTCAGTGCTCGTCTGTTTGATACTTGTTCACTTGGGAGAAGGGCAGCACCCTGAAGCCCTTGTCTTGTTGGCAGGGGTCTGCACCCGGGAGCCCCCATTCTATATAATCACTGAGTTCATGACCTATGGGAACCTGCTGGATTACCTGAGAGAGTGTAACCGGCAGGAGGTGAACGCTGTGGTGCTGCTGTACATGGCCACTCAGATCTCATCAGCCATGGAGTACCTGGAGAAGAAAAACTTCATCCACAGGTAGGAGCCTGGCCAGGCCGGCCTCCCCACCGGTCGCCCAGCATCCTTTCAGAAAAAGCCCCAGCCTGCAAGGGCTTACGGCTCAGTCTCTGACTTTAGTGCTGGCAGCTCACTGGACCTGGCAGATGCCAGGTTTCTGATGTAGCCGGCTTTGGGCATGTGTCCAGGACTGAATTCGGCCAGGCCTAGCCCCTGGACCCACAGCAGTTAATCTCAGGCTGGGGAACATTTCACTCGGGAACCATTTTGGTCTAAGTGGAACATTGACTGAAGATTATAAAAGGTGCCCCTTCTGACAGTCACAGCTCCTCTAAGTAGAGCGCTCTTTGTCGGTCCGAGGCTGGAGTGCGTCAGTAATGACCGCTTCCTGGGAGCCGTCGGCACTGCTGTCACACAGGCGCTCAGTAACAGCCACACGTGGGTTTGTTTCTGTGTCCTGTGTCCCCTCCCTTCTCTTTATTATCACTTCATTCTCCACTTAACTTACTGTCAGCTGGTTCAAGGACGTTTCTGCAATTGTCAGAATTGTGTACATGCAGTTCTAAATTAAGCGTCTTTGCTGTTTTTAAAGCCTAGAGTGTTTTGACCTTCAAGTGTGCCACAATTATCTTGGTCTTCACATTCTTTGCTGGTGGAAAGGGCTTCCTAGCAGAGTGATGGCCTGTGCAGGACAGAGCCTGACGGGCTTTGCCGGAGTCTTTTATACAAGATGTTCTCCACACCACCGTGGTGACCTTTCCTACCCAATTAACTCAAGTATGAAACCTGTACATGAGATTTCATAGTGAGGAGTAAGAGTAGCATGTGTGAAATGCTGGCGGTTCCTTGTAAGACAGATTTTCTATGCTTCGTGAGAGCCTGCTTCAGATGCTCCTGTCACTCAAGAAAGTGAACCCTCTGAGGCTGCAAATTGAGATTTCTTGACTCCCGGTTTGTCTTGCACAGCTAGGTTTGTTCTCTCTTCATTCAAGCAGACTTAAAATGCTTTACTAAAATCCTGTTAGGCACAACTCCCCTGTATTTAGTTCCTCTCCGATTGCTGATGATCAGGCTCTCATGCCGCCGTCGCCCTGAGCTGGTGCCTCTTCTCATTCCTCGTTCCTGTTTGCCTTGCGATTTCATGGTTAACGTCCATGAACCGAAGATTAGACTCCTGCCTCTCTGGGAGAATCAGGAGGCAAGAGGAAGCTGATTATATAGGAGAGAATTTATAGGATACATTTGGATAAACATCAAGGAGAAACAGGAAAGTAGGGGATACAGTTTGGGTAAAGAATGCTACAGGCTTGTTAAATTTTTGCCCTATCAAGTCTGGATAGGACAAGCGGAGACACTCTGATATGTTTCTCGAGATGGAGGACTGTTCCCTGTGCCTCGCATAGAGCAGCAGTAACTGAGCAGACACTTAGGTGACACTGTTCTCCAGGCATCAGTCAGAGTGCCTTATCTGTTCATTTCTGACGACTCACAACAGCCCTAAGACTAAGCGCTGTTATTATTGTCTTCATTTTATGGCTGCGATAACTGAGTCCCAGGGTAATTGACTTGCTCCAGGTCGTGGGGCCAGCTGCCCCCTGCTGCCTCTCACCGTGGTGGGAGCTCAGGTGGGTGCTGAGGGACAGGCACTGTTCCCCAGAGAGACTGGACTCCGTTTTCCCATTGTCGGTATTGCACCTTTATAAGCTCAACGGTGGCGGATTTGTGAAGCTGGAAAGCTAGCCACCAGCTCTGACAGACAAACTTTTCCCTTTCCCAGAGATCTTGCTGCCCGAAACTGCCTGGTAGGGGAAAACCACTTGGTGAAGGTGGCTGATTTCGGCCTGAGCAGATTAATGACAGGGGACACCTACACAGCCCACGCCGGGGCCAAGTTCCCAATCAAGTGGACTGCACCTGAGAGCCTGGCCTACAACAAGTTCTCCATCAAGTCAGACGTCTGGGGTAAGCGCCGCTGCTCCAGTCTCATCCTTGCCCGTCCAGAGTGGGCTGTTTCCTCATCTGTCTTTCTCCTCTTGCTTTGTCACTTCCTCTTTTTTGTTCTTTCATTACTTCTCTTTTTTTGTTTGTTTCTTCATTTTAAAATCATTTCTCCCCTGTTTTCTCTCCAAAATGAAGCAAGAGTGAGCTTTTTCTTCCAAAATAATTCGGCTTAGCTTTTTACCCCCACTCACTGTCTTTATGTCTTCGTTCCCAGTTTGTTGCGTAGGTTTGCGGCGGCAGCTAACCAGCCCTGCAGGCACCCAGTCCTCCTCTGTGAGAGGATGCCCTGTAGTTTGGCTTGGGCTTTAGCTAGAATACGGCCCTCTGAAGCCTCCTGTGACAGTATTTTATTTTTACTTTTTTCAAAGAACTTTTTGTTATGCAAATTTTAAGTATATGCTAAAGAAGACAGAGTTGCATAATGAACTCATGTGCCCCTCCCCAGGGTTTACCCTCATCACCCGTGGTGCCCTCACGTCCTCTGCACCTGCCCACTCCCCTACCCTTGCTATTTCAGACAAAGCCCAGACATCATGTTTCATCTGTAAGTATTTCATATACGTCTCTTAAAGATGGCTTTTTTATTTGCATAGCCACAAATTGAGATTAATTTCTGAATATTATCGAGTATCTAGTTAGTGTTCAGATTTCCAATTAAATCATAAAAGTCATACCTTTATATATATATATATATATATATATGCACATATACATATACATATATACAATCTGTTTGAATTGGGATGGGAATACAGATCCCGCAGAATACAGTGATTAGTTAACAGTGACCCTGAGGTGTCCTCTGATCTGTAAATTCCTTCTTTATCTCCTTATGTCCCTTGCTATTTATTTGTTGAAGAAGTTCTGTCACTTGCCCTTTAAAGTTTGCCACATTCTGGATTCTGTTCATTGTGCCCCTGTGGTGTGATTTAACATGTTCCTTAGTCTTCACTGTTCCTAGTAAATGGGTAGCTGGATATGGACAGCTTGGTCACATTCGGGTTTGGCTTTTTTTCTTTTAATAAAAGTACTTTTTCTTTTAATAAAAGTGGTGTGCTTTTTCATCAGTAGGTCCATAATTTGTGATTTTCTCTCTCTGCCCAGATCCACTAATTTATTATTAGGAGTTGCCAAATGATAATTCTCTAATTCTGTCATTCCTTATTCATCGGTTAGCTCAGCACTTCTGTAAGAAGAGATTTCCTCTCATCTGCTGTTTCATTACAGTAGGGATACAGTTCATGTAGGAAAGACTGGATAAGTGTTTGCTTCCTTGTCATTATTTACCAGTTTCCACAATAATTAGTTGGTTTCTTAATGCCCTCCAGTGGTGACCATCTAGGTTTTTGTTGTTTTTCTTTTGTGATATTATGAACTCTTGGATTTAAATATTTGATTATATTATTGATTAATCCACTGCAGTTATTTTTCTTATTCTATTCAGATTGTCTCATCTTTGGTGAACGGGAACTTCAAGTTGTTCCTGGTACTTTTGACAAAGCCCTGTAGTCTTCAATAGTGTCTGTGCTGTCTGGAATGATAAAATGCTCCAGATTCTTTCTCTGCCCCACCCCTAAATCACCCGTTTGCCCAAGGAGTCCTAGTTCCGTAATGAGACCTGGAGTTTCAAGGATTCTGTAAGATTTTAATGAAATTTTTGGAGTTGGAAGGGACCTTAGGGATAGTCTCGTACACCCAGAAAGGAGAGGTGGCCTGTCTTAGGCACATGGCTAGTTGATCACAGAGCTATGAGTAGAAATGGCCTCCTGAATTCCAGTCCTAGGGGCCTTCCACCACGTCTCCCAACAGGAGGTCACGTTGCGTAAAAGACCGTGGAGGGGCTGATTGACCCAGTCCCGTTTAATCGGTAAGGGTGAGTAAAGGGAAAGCCTCATTCTGTGCTTTTCTGTCCTGGGCTGTTGGTAATTAAGAGCCTGGTAAAATGTCAGTGCCTGACCTGCTTCTGAGGGTGTAACTTCTGATGTCTGCTACACAGTTGACCAATTTTAAATGTGTAGTTAAATCTTACTCATCTTGAACAATCTTTCTCTTTCTTTTTTCTCCTAGCATTTGGAGTGTTGCTTTGGGAAATTGCTACCTATGGCATGTCACCTTACCCAGGAATTGACCTGTCCCAGGTGTATGAGCTGCTAGAGAAGGACTATCGCATGGAGCGCCCAGAAGGCTGCCCAGAGAAGGTCTACGAACTCATGCGAGCATGTGAGCCTCCACTGCTGAATCTGAGATAATCTGTGGGCGCTGTGCAAAATCCCAGCGCGGGGGGGGACCTGTAAAGTGCAACATTAAAGTATTCTGCTTCCTCTCTTCACTCCCATTCTTCCTGAGCAACTAATGCAAACAGTTTGGCACTTTTTTTTTTTAACTTATTTCAGTGTTTCTGTAAACCTTTATTTATACATAGTATTTATGTGTGAGAGTTTTTTGTTTTATTTTTAGTGCAAAAATGAGACTGATGGGTATCGAACCTGGGTTTCTCATCAATAAATACAAATTTCTGATATAATAGGTAAATATTCCAGGTGACATTTATCTATTTGGTTTTACTTATATACATAGTACATATATATATATATATATATATATATATATAATATTTAGAGAAAAATTTATTCCCTCAACATTTTTTGCACTTAGTATAACAGGCGTATCTTTCCCTGTCTGTAATTCAGGGATCATTCATCCAGTCCTCCCTCTTGTAATGAACATTTGGTTGTTTAACACATTTGTTTGCTTTTTAAAATTATAAACAAGGCAGGAACCAGTACCCTCATATGTATACCTCTGTGCATCATGTTAGTATTTCTAGAAGTTGAACTGTTGGTTCAGAGGGCTGTGTGCATTTTAAATTTTGGTAGATTTTACCAAATTGTTTCCAAAAAAGCTTATAAGAATTTTTACTCCCAACAGAAGTGCATGAGAGGGGCCCTGCGTCCTCCTGCATTGGGCTCTGCCATTCCTTAATCCTCATGGTGATCTTGTTTTAATTTGCACGTTTTTACTGATGAGGGATGCAGACTTTGATAACCGTGAAGTAAGGGCGAGATAGGAGGCAAGCTATTTGGCTTAGTAATTCTCTGCACTTAACAGAGGCAGGTTGGGGAAAATGTGTTTGTAAATGTAGTTCTTGCTATCAGTGTGTCTCTGGGGGTTTTGTGATCCATATTCCTGCCAATATCAAGTTTTTTCAAATTCTTAGTGTCTGTAATAGGACACAGTAGCATTCATCACTTTAACTTGTCGTAGCAGTCAGAGCAAAAGATGGCTAACAGGATGGAATGCTGCTTTAATTTGCAGACTTTCCCTTGAGAATTTCTGGCGCCCTGCTTGCTAGCAAGGCCTTGTGGGTGGTCTGACGTGGGTCTCATCTGTCCAGGTTGGCAGTGGAATCCCTCTGACCGGCCCTCCTTTGCTGAAATCCACCAAGCCTTTGAAACCATGTTCCAGGAATCCAGCATATCAGATGGTAAAGTGCCCGTCCTTGGGGTGCCTGCAGTGGGGAGAAAGGTTGGGATAGGAAGGATGGCCGTGTGGGACTCCAGCCCAGTCCTTCCGTTCACTTCCTGGTGGAGTGCATGGGCCAGCAAGTACCTGACACCAGAAAGCTGCGCAGAGGTGCTGAGGTGGCTCTCTGTCTTTTGCAGCCAGGGTTCTGAAAACTACTCGAGTGCTGTTTCTTCAGCGTGTGTGTCTCTTTCCCGTAACTGTGTACAGATGACTACTGTTGTCTAAAAAAGAAAGAAGAGCAGTGTACCAAAATGCCATCATTACTCACGACTGCTGGTTTTGTTATTGATTTTTTGGTGGTTCTTAGAAGTGGAAAAGGAACTGGGGAAGAAAGGCGTGCGAGGGGTTGCAAGTCCTCTGCTGCAGGCCCCAGAGTTGCCCACCAAGACGAGAACCTCCAGGAGAGCTGCTGAACACAAAGACTCCCCCGAGGGGCCCGAGACGCCCCACTCCAAGGGCCCCGGAGAGACTGGTACGTCCCCACCCCCGGAGGCCCCGGAAGTCAGCCCTCAGGGCCGGTGCAGGCAGATGGGAAGCAGTGACTGGAACCTGCACGGAAGCGTAGGGAGACCCCATGTTAGTGATCCAGCTTCAAAAAGAGGAAGGTTCTCCCTTTTCCCACAGCACCTCCCCTCCCAGAACCATTTAGGAGCCTGTGGCTTTGGCACGAGCCTAGTCGAATAGGCATGGGTGCTTACGAAACCCACTGAGGACAAGCCCACCCCTCCATGTGTTATTCACAGCATTTGTGGTTGCTCTTGCAGGGCAGATACAACCATAATAAATATTGAACCAAACGAAGAGCAGCTTGTTGTGAAAGCACTGATATGAAAAGCTCACTGGAACGGAGGAACCAGGAGATACCTGTGGGAGAGCTGGTGTCCTCGTGGTCTCTGAGGACAGAATCTGGTGCTGGTCCCAGACTAGCAAGGGCCACGCGAGTGGTTCAGGAGGGGTCTCAAGATGTTACCAGAAATAACGTTAGTAAGCGCTGATCCAGTGCTTCCTGTGTGCCAGGCTCGACTCTGACTTAGGCTGCTCTGAGGTGGCAGTTCCCTCACCTCAGAAAAAACCCAAAAAACGGAAGTCTGGGTTCTGCTACGCACCAGCTGAGTGGAAGTGTCTGAGGTGGGCCAGGCGTCTGGGTTTGTAGTGCTCCTGAGGGATGCTCTGGTGGACCACACGCTAAGCACATGGGGAGGGACAGAGCAGAGCCAGGATTATGGGAGGCTGAGTCACAGCAGAATCTGTACCCCCCATGATTCCCAGTTTTTTTTCGTCATGTACCCATATTAATTTTAAAAATAATATACAACTCATATATACATACACTACTGTACAAATATATTATGGATACTATAAATATACCAAAAATAGATACTTAAAAGGTTTACGTAGGAATTAAATCCAAATTATGGTGGTTTGCTTGCATGCCCCTTGGGCCATCTTGCTCACCCCACTTTGATAGTATGTAAACTGTCCAGAATCTGGCTCCTTCATCCTTCTGCTAGTTGTCATGATTTCAGGTAGTTGAACAGTGGGGAGGAGGAGAGGCTGCTGTGAAACACTTGGAGCTCATTAAAAGCCCATGATAAGCAGTCATGTTCACTTAGCCCATCAATATTCATCCGAGGGGTGTTTTGATACGTAATCTCGTGGTGAGCCAGGAGTGTCAGCTCAGTGTTCAGCGCTGAAACGGAGCTGGGCGTAACATTAGCATTTCAGTGTCTCTGCCTTCTTCTGCTGGATTCAAGTTTTGGGGGGTCGTCGTCATCTTTCCCTGATCCTGAAGTCCCATGTGCTGCCTGGTGTTCTGACAGATGCCCGCGTGTACCTTGACTCTAAGTGACAGGGTGCTGACAGAAACCGCTCCATTTGCAGCTGCCCGCGGAGGGAGAATACCGTCATTCACTAGCCGGGTGCTTGGCAACACCAGAAAGACTTCTTAGGAGCTATTATTCATATTTAAAGAATGTCCATTTAAAAATTTAAAAGGTCACCCTTCTTGTTTCCCAAAATAATAGCCCGTTGTCACAGTGCCCTGTGGTGTGTGGCCCCTTCCCTCCTGATCACACCTTGGAGGAACCTCAGCCGAACCTCAGCTGGCTGACCAGTCTGAGAGACACGGGTTCGGACCCTGGGCTCAGCCGTGTCACGCTGTTGACTCACAAGGTAGTGGTGTTGGGGGTACTCCGCAGCTTTAAAGGAAACCAGTGCAGGGATGAGGGGCAGTTACTGAGCAGTTTCACACCAAAAGCTGTGACGGACACTCCGTGTTCATTCTCGCGTTGTGTTCTCACCACAATGCTGTGGATAGGTTTTCTTGTCCTCCGTTTTATAGATGAGAAAGCTGAGGCCGAGCCGGGAGAAGTAACTTGCCCAGGTGAGTGGCAGGGCTGGGCCACATGCAGGCCTGTCAGCCTGGGCAAGTTCCCCCGCTCACCCAGTAGCCTTTGGCCTGGAGTCGTTAAACTCTTCCCAACGTGTTTTTCAGATCCTCTGGACCATGAGCCCACTGTATCTCCACTGCTCCCTCGAAAAGAGCGAGGTCCTCAGGATGGTGGCCTAAATGAAGATGAGCGCCTTCTCCCCAAAGACAAGAAGACTAACTTGTTCAGCGCCTTGATCAAGAAGAAGAAGAAAACAGCCCCAACCCCTCCCAAACGCAGCAGCTCTTTCCGAGAGATAGACGGCCAGCCCGAGCGCAAAGGGGCCAGCGAGGAAGAAGGCCGTGAAATCAGCAACGGGGCCCTGGTTCTCGCACCCTCGGATGCAGCCGAGCCAGCCAAGTCCCCAAAGCCCAGCAGCGGGGCTGGCGTCCCCAATGGAGCCTTCCGGGAGTCAGGGGGTGCAGGCTTCCGGTCTCCCCACCTATGGAAAAAGTCCAGCACGCTGACCAGCAGCCGATTAGCAGCCAGTGAGGAGGAGAGTGGTGGCAGCTCCAGCAAGCGCTTCCTGAGATCCTGCTCTGCCTCCTGCATGCCCCACGGGGCCAAGGACACAGAGTGGCGGTCGGTCACGCTGCCTCGGGATCTGCAGTCCACGGGGAGACAGTTTGACTCATCCACATTTGGAGGCCACAAGAGCGAGAAGCCGGCTCTGCCTCGGAAGCGGGCGAGTGAGAACAGGTCTGACCAGGTGACCAGAGGCACAGTCACTCCCCCACCCAGGCTGGTGAAAAAGACCGAGGAAGCAGCCGATGAGGTCTTCAAGGACACAGCCGAGTCCAGCCCGGGCTCCAGCCCTCCCACTCTGACTCCAAAACTCCTCCGGAAGCAGGTTGTGGCCACGCCTTCCTCTGGCCTTCCCCACAGGGAAGAGGCTGGGAAGGCCAGTGCCTTGGGGACACCTGCTGAGCCAGCGCCCCCCAGCAGCAGGGCAGGGCCAGGTGGATCTGGAGGGACCAGCAAGGCCCCTGCCGAGGAGTCTAGAGTGAGGAGGCACAAGCCCTCCTCCGAGTCCCCGGGGAGAGACAAGGGGAAGTTGTCCAAGCTCAAACCCGCCCCACCACCCCCACCACCAGCATCTGTTGGGAAAGCCGGGAAGCCCTCTCAGAGTCCGAGCCAGGAAGCAGCCGGGGAGGCAGGTGCCAGTGGAAAAGCAAAATCCGTGGCTCTGGGTGTGGATGCTGTGAACTGTGATGCTGCCAAACCCAGCCAACCGGGAGATGGTGTCAAAAAGCCTGTGCTCCCGTCCATGCCAAAGCCACAGTCGTCCACCAAGCCGGCGGGGACTCCGACCAGCCCAGCCCCTGCTCCCTCCACGTTGCCCTCAGCATCCTCTGCCCAAGCAGGGGACCAGCCGTCCTCCACCGCCTTCATCCCTCTCATATCGACCCGCGTGTCTCTTCGGAAAACCCGCCAGCCTCCCGAGCGGATTGCCAGTGGCACCATCACCAAGGGTGTGGTGCTGGATGGCACCGAGGCCCTGTGCCTTGCCATCTCCAAGAACTCCGAGCAGATGGCCAGCCATAGCGCCGTGCTAGAGGCTGGCAAAAACCTCTACACTTTCTGTGTGAGCTACGTGGACTCCATCCAACAAATGAGGAACAAGTTTGCCTTCCGAGAGGCCATCAACAAACTGGAGAATAATCTTCGGGAGCTTCAGATCTGCCCAGCGACAGCAGGGAGTGGCCCGGCGGCCACTCAGGACTTCAGCAAACTCCTCAGCTCCGTGAAAGAGATCAGTGACATCGTACAGAGGTAGCAGAAGCTGGGCGTCAGGAGCCTGCAGTTCGCGTGGGACCCCACCCCACCCCACCCCCCACCCCCGTGCCCTTGCCGGTGACCGACAGCTCAGCGCGCTGGGACCTGGGCGCGGAGCTCGGGCGCCTGGAGCCCCGCCCTCCTACCTGCAAGCGCGCCCGCTGCTCTCCCGCGCTGCTTCCTCCTCAGCCTGGCTCCCCAAGCCTCCTCTCCCGAGTTCTGTCTGTGGAGTTCCCGCTCTGTGGACTGCACATAGTGCTTCAAAACTGAGCTCTCGGGGTCTGCTGGGAAGGTGGATGAGCACTTCCTTTTCATTTTTCTTTCTGGGGGACCTCCTCTGGCTGTGCCTTCACCTCTCTTTCACCCCAAGAAGGAGTACCCTGAATGGGAGCTGCCATCAAGGCCTTGGGACTGTCACTCCACTCACCCTGTGCAGAGAGGCTGTGCACGCGTCTCCTCGGGCTCCCTGTGCTGAAGACTTGATTCGGGACCACATCCTGGGAAGTGCTGCCAGCTGGTCACCCTGCCCGCCCCTGCTGTCAGGGGCCCGTGTCCGCACCGTTTCCTCATGTGGAGGACAGCTCTGGATTTGGGGGGTAAAACGGGGTGCTAAAACCAACTAGCCACTGGGTCCCGGGACCAGTGGGGAGGCCAGGGAGGTCCGTGGTGTGGGAGAGGGGCCTTGTCATCCGTTCTTGCCATGTCCTTCGAGCCCAGTTCCTTGCTCTCTTGTGACATGCACTGCTAATCCTGGATAGAAAGCTTGAGTCTTGAGGGTGGCAGGGTCGCTGTTCAGCCTACAGGGGCAGGGAGGTAGGAGGGGTGGCTCGTTGGGTGAGCAGCAGGCCCCCAGATGGCCCAGCGCTGGGCCCAGGCAGGTCTGCAGCAGGCGCAGAGTTTCCTTCCTTCCGAATTTCCAGGTGTCCTGAAGAGGCACTTAGTCTTGATCTCTGGTTGATCTCTTTCCACTCCCTTGTACTCCTCTTAGACAAAGGGCTTTTCCTCTTGTGACAAGCCGGTCTTCAGTTTTCTGGAGTTCTTGAAGCTTTTCAGAACCCTGCCTTCCGCACAGGTGCCTCCAACACAGAGGGAGCCGCCGTTGTGCCAGTGCACAGACAGGAGGCAGTGGGCTGCGGCTGCACCCTGGCGAACAGATGTCTTCTGTAATTACCACGAGCAACGCACAGCCTGGTTGTTTCTGTCGGGGTCATCAGGGATGAAGCGAACCACAAATAAATGAAACCCCAGAAAGTGTCTCAAAGAGCACGCTTCAGTGTAGTCACCCCGGGCTGCCCAGGACTGGGCTCGTGGGGCAGGAGCCTAAGGGTCCTTGACCTTGACCTAAGAGCAGCTACTGAAGAGCGGGCAGGCACCTGCCTGGGCCTGGCGCCAGGCTCGGGAGTAACCTGGGAGAAACCACCTTCCACTCCTCATGCCTTCTCATGCCCGTGTCCTCGCACGGGCCCCCTTTTTACACTAATCACCTAAACTTGTATTTTATTTCTCTGGTAGAGGTGGTTCCTCTGGATCGTTTGATGCTGTTTTCACAGTGCATCACCTCTTTGCCCCCCCACCCCGACTGCTCTGTTAGACAGGGAGGTGCTCGAACACCACCAGCGGCCTTGCAGACAAAGCAAAATAGACCCACCCTGGTTCCCTCAACTGCCTGTTTCTATGAGGTACTGGTCTCTCCTTGTTCACACAATGTGCCACTATATTTTGCATTTATACTTTGATATTACACTCTTTTATAGACTTGCTCTTTTATAAATGACGTGTAAATAGTTTTCCACTATCCTCCTTTCTGGAATGCCTATGGTGTCTTTCTTTTTTTTTTTTTTTTGGTCCAGTACATTTTGTTTCTGTATATGACTCTGTTTTTTGAATCCACGTCTCTCCTCTGTAGTATTTTTTAAATAAATGTTTACATCGTTAGAACTTGGGCGGATCGCTTTGGTCTGTAATTCTTCCCTGTCGTTCAGAGCCGTGGCATGTGCATGGGGAGGGAGGGAGATGCGTTTTCCCGAAGGGGCTGGGGACTCCGTGTTGGGTTTTACAGAACAGTAATGGCAGGACTGTGGCGATGTCCTGCACACTGTGTGGTCATCAGCCATTTTGCAGGCAGATTCCCTGCCCTCGTCCCAGGCTCTTCCTGCACCCTTGACGCCGACTTGCTCCCAGCCCGGCTCTTGTCAGGGCACTGGGAGTGAGCAGTGCCACCACTCAGGCCACATCTGACTGGCACGGGGAAGAGGGAGACAGCTGGAGGCTGTGTCAACTGTCAGGATGTCCCAGCGTCCTTGAGTTGAGGGGAGTGGGTCATGTCCTGGATTATTCTCTGGCCTGAAAGGGTTAATCCCTCCCCAAGTACGTTTTCTCTCTTTACCTTTGGACTCACTTCCTCAGCCCCCCGCAGCGCCCCTCACTCGTGTTTGCACACCAGTGTGGATGAGGAAGAGCAGGGTGCGCTGGCCTGTGAGGGGAGGGAGGAGACACGTCCTGGGCCGTGCCGTGACCTCCCCCAGTCCCCCCCTGCCAAGGGGACTGTCCAGGGGGTGACGTTTTCTCATCTTCGTCTCCACTTAACGCCAGCTGACAGCTTGGAAAGTGGAAGTCGGGGAAGTGAGTAGCACCCTCTGATAATGATACTTATTAAGCCAGCAGGCTTGTCAAAGGATGCAGATCCTGCTCACCAAAGCATGTAGAAGAGCGTGGTTCAGTGAAACCTCTTTCCTGCAGACCTCAGCCGCGAGGTGTCAGGCGATGGAGGGGAAAACGCTCTCCTGGGATGAGGGCTGTGGAGCCCACTGAGCACGCGCAAGTTGAGCTGCAGGCGGCACTGGGGACCACATCTCTCCCTCGTTTCACAGAGGCAAAAACTGAGGCCCAGGCCACAGTCTGTTAGTGACTGAACCAACACTTGACACCCGATCTCCTGGCTCGGGGGCTTTTCCACAGGTAACAGGCTCTTCCCTGGAATGCCAGCTCTCAAGTCTGAAAGAAGCCATAGAATAATTACAGTGGCAGCCACAACTGATGGCTGCTTCCTCCGTGTCAGACGTGGACGGTCACGGAATCTTCACTGCAGCCTCGCAGGCAGGGCATGTTATCCCAATTCCCCAGCACTCAGCGGTGAGCTTACTTGTCCAGTCACGGCTCCCACGTGTGAGGCCAGGGCACAGCCTCACCTACACTCTAGCCACCTGGGCAGCTGTACCAGTGTGAAACAAGGTTTTCCAAGGTAAGAATCTTCCGTGAATGTCACCCGACCCCGAGAAACTTACTTGGGTCTGGCCATTCTAGGACAATTGTTCTTAACCGTTTTGGGGCCACAGAACCCCCTTGAACCTAATGAGAACAGTGGATTTAGCCCCAGGAAAACATATCTGTGTGCACACACAACGGTTTTCAGATAACTCTGAGTCCTGCCCTCAAGGTCCGGAAGCAAGGAGTGAGAACCCAAGGGCAAGCCCACTGACGGCGCTGGCAGCGCCTGCCGGCGCTGTTATCACAAAACGCAAGCCTAGGGTGTCAGAAGTTCTAAAATAAAACACTCAGGATCTCCAAACTGAGAGCCACCCAGATGTCGTCAAGAGAAGAAAGGGTGGGCACGTGCAGCGTGTTCAGGCAGTGGAGTGTCGGGGAGCAGGGGGAGTGAAGAGCCCTGCCTCGCTCCACAGGACAGTGATGTGTAAGCTTCCATTTATTTAAGCGGCGCGTAGTCTGGTGGTAGAAGTCAGAAGGGCGGCTGACGGGGACAAGGGCCGTGCCTGGTCGGGGCACAAGGGAGCTCTGGGGGCAGCTGAAGTTCCGTTGCTTAGTCTGGGGGTTGCTGGCTGCTGGGTGTGTGACTTCGTGAAATTTCATCAAACTACGCTTAGAATTGGGGCACGTTCTGGGTGTGTGTTATGTTACAGTGGAAGTTCTCTCAAAATTACAGGTCACCCATGAGTGCTTTTAGCGACTCTGCAGATGCGTTCTGCATTACCACGTGAAACCCTCACACCTTTTTTTTTTTTAACGTGGGAGGTTCTGTCACTGTTTTCATTTAATTTCAGAAATGTGAAGCAGCTCGCGCAAGGTCCCACAGCACGTGCCAGCTTGTTTCTGCTATACCATACTGCTAGACTAGTTTGCTGACAGTGAAGACAGCTGCAGCGAGACCGGCGGAGCCGTGGGCTCCGGGGCCAGGCTCCTCCCTCCGTCATGGAAGGGAGGAAGTCAGAGTTACAGCTAGCTCAGTCTCGTGGGTGTCGACGGTATTTTATAGAAGGCGTTCCCAAACCGAGCGCTCTAGGGGGTTGATTTCTAGCTGTTGTCTTGGTACGGAGGACATTAGGTGGGACAAGGCTGACCAACCAACTGTCCCCTGTGCCTGCCTGCCCTCATCCCTGGTCACCCAACACCGTGGGCAGGACCCCAGCTCCCCGAGGGTGAAAGCACCATGTCCGGACTGGGGTCTCGAGTGGAGCGTGTTGTGCGGTACCTTTGGCTCCAGGGCAGAGTCGGGGCGAGGTGGCTCCTCACTCACTACAGCAGCTGCCTGATGGCTTGGTGCCCCCACAAACTCCTCTTTCTCAAACATTTTAATTAATATTTCAAAATACAGGAAACTGTAGACAAATATTCCCTGTCCACTTTAATAGCTAAGTACCTTGAGATGTACACACCGAGATGAAGCCTGTTTTGTGCCGAGAGTATAAATGTCTGGGCTGGAGGAGACAGCGCTGATGGAGCGGGCCCGCCGCCCAGGGGGGCTCATTAAGCTTCCAAAATAGTTGTTTTCCGAAGAGCCTCACCTTCACTAATCTGGGGAGTAATCTCCCCACCAAGGGGACTGCAGGGATGTGGGGGTGACATGAGAGGCCCCCAAAACTTGACAGAGCCGGTGGGGTTGAGAGGGGCAGGGGTTAAAGAGGAGATTTAGCCAAATGTAGTGGGAGTGGATTTCACCGATCAATGCCCTTAGCAGTTTGATTGTTCTGATTTTCAGGGTTATTGAGCTCAAATGTACAAGCATCGGGGAAGAATAGCTCTGCTGTTGATTTTTGTTTAACGATGAAAGCGTAATGACAGGGTATCCTCTGCTTTGAAGGCCCTCCCCCTCCTCTCTGCCTCAGATTTCTCCATCGAGGTTAATCTAATCCTGCTAAATTAAAAACCAGCCAGTGTTTACCCAAAGTGTGTGTAAACACATGCAGAAGTGTCTCAGCCTCGGTGACCTCCAAGTTCTCCCAGTTAGTGACCACAGGGGCAGCTCCTTTTATGCTGAGAGTAGAAGTTGGCAGGTGAGCACTGGCCAGGGACCTGCTGCAGGGCGCCCCTCCGCCCTTGGCCTCTGGTCTATCCTGTGTCGCCTGGCCTCTCATGAGCGCGTTCTCTGGCTTCCTGGTGTGTGTGAATGAGCTAAGGGAGGGGTGAGCCAGCTCCCTGCCCTTCCCCTGTAACACAGTGGACATGAGCACACTCGGGTGAGAGCCTGGGCTGGGACTGCACTTCCTTCTTTCAGCCACCCTGTATCCGACAGTCTCCGCACCGGGCTGTCCTTTATGGACACACTGAGGCTCGTTTTCTTGAGGTTTGCCACTAACAAAGATCCAGAGATGTGTTCCATCCCCATCTGTCTGTCACGTTAGCAGGAGGCATCGTGGATCAATCCCTTCCTCAACAGTGGTGGAGGCCAAAGAGTTTGATGTGCCTCTCAGATTCAGTGTCACTGTCAGGTCCCTGTCACAGCAGCCCAGAGCCCCTGGACACATGTACCAAGGCTTGGGGGAAGCAGAGAGGAGCTCCAGGAGAAGGCAGCTCGCTTCAGCATACGGCGATGTTCTGACTCCTGTGTTCCTGTCCCATCTTACCATCCCGTTTCTGCTCCCCAGTCAGCCTGGCTCTTTTGTGACTCAGATCTGTTACCCCTTAATGAAGTGGCTTTCTGGCTGTCGAGGATTGAGAGCTGCTACAGGGGAATGTAAGTCTCTAAAAAAAAAATCACTGAAATGCTCCGAGGTGCCAAGCTGGGCCCAGCCCAGTGCGGTTCTAAAAGGCTAATAAAAATCCACCAATTAATTGTGACAGCTCAATGGAAAATTATTCAATTGTGAACAGGGGCAAGCTGCAGCTCAAAAGGAGGAGGGGAGACGTTGCCATAGGAACATCAATACAGGTTCTCATCTCAGCGGTAGATGCCAGCCTGGGAGTGAGCAGCATCAGACTGCTCATCAGACTCGGGACAGGATCAGAACCCACCAAAGCAATGTTTGAAGGAGATGCTCTGCCTTGCCCCAGGGCCGCAGCTACTCCAGGATGAGCACTGGCTTCCCCCGGGGTAGGAGAAGTTGTTTTCAGAATGCTCCTCGCTTTGAGAAAACCAGGGAAAGTGCAGTCGAGTGCAAGGGGAAAATACACCATGTGTGTGTTTCCTATACCTTTGACCGCGGGTATTTTACCAATGCCATTTAAGGGGATGCTAGAAGAGGTGTATGGGTACCTGTAACACAATTTCCATCTCCCCAAACGTAAGGCACTTGCTGCTCAGGAAAGCAAAGTTCCTAGGGCACAGAGGACCTGTAGGAACGAGTCAGGTTAGCTTTCCATTATGGTTTTGCAGTTGTTACAACTTTTATTTCAAAAGTAACACATTCGTATTCTGCACACTGGAAATGCAGCCTTGCTAGAGCAAAAATGTATCCCTTTGCTGTTCATCTCCCACGAGACTCTTGGCTTGGCAAACACTGTCCCACTGAGAAGGACAGCTATCAGAAGAGGATGGGCAGCCGGTCCAAATGGCATCTCAACACCATAGCAAGGTTTTCTTGCCAGAGGGATGTTGTGTTAATGGGATGGAGAACAAGGTTTCTTTTTTCCATTTTAAACTTTCAGAACCATCCTCTGTACCCAGTGGAATGTGCTCACTCACGGTCGCAGATGTCCCGACGGAGATGGTCA